TGACTCTCGCTTCTCCAGAGTCAGAAAGGAATTTGCGACGCCGCACAGTGACCTTCCACCTCGGTCAGGGACCAGCCGCCCACAAGGCTGTGTAATCCACACGTTTTCTCCTTCCTCTCGTCGTCGTCCTCCTCGTACCATTTTCTCCTCATCCGCCTCCGCCTCCTCTCTCCTCCTCGTCCTCTTCCCTGCTCCTCCCGGCTAGTGCTCCCTCCCTCCTCCTCCTCCTCCTCCTCCTCCTCTTCCTCCTTCTCCTCCTCCTCCTCCTCCTCCTCCTCCTCCTCCTCCCGTCTCTCCCCTCCTCCTCATCCTCCTCCCTCCTCCTCTTCCTCCTCCTCCTCCTCCTCCTCCTCCTCCTCCATCTTCCTCCCCCCTCTTCTTCCCTCTCCTCATCCTCCTCTTCCTCCTTCATCCTCCTCCGCCTCTTCCTCCTTCATCCTCTTCCTCCTCCTCGTCTTCCTTCTCCTCTTCCTCCTCTTTCTTCTCCCTTCTCTCCTCCTCCTCCTCCTCCTCCTTTTCCTCCTTCTACTTCTCCTCGTTATTATTCCTTCCCACTCCCCTCCTTCCTCCTCCTCCTCCTCCTCCTCCTCCTCCTCCTCCTACTACTCGCGGGGAGCGAGATACGAAATATTTGTCCTGCTCCTCCTCCTCCTCCTTCTCCTGCTTCTCCTCCTCCTCCTCCTCCTTCTCCTACTCCTCCTCTTCCTCCTCCTCATCCTCCTCTTCCTCCCTTTTCCCTCCTCCCTCCTCCCTCCTCCCTCCTACCTCCCTTCCCCTGTTTCCCCTCCCGGCTCCTCCTCCCTTCTCCTCCCTGCTCCTCCTCCTCCCCTCCTCCTCCTTCTCCTCTCTCTCTCGGAGGGATGGGAGGAGGTGGGGTGGCCCTCGCGGGGAGGGGCGGGGAAGGAGATCAGGAGGATCGCGTATGCGTTTCTGTAATCGTTTTCGTCAGCCTCCTTAATCCTCCTCCTCCTCCTCCTCCTCCTCCTCCTCCTCCTCCTCTTCCTCCTTGTCGTCCTCCTCCTCCGTCGCCTCGTCGTCCTCCTCCTCTTCCTAGTCCTCCTCTTCCTCCTTCCTTCCTCCTCCTCCTCCTTCTCCTCCTCCTCCTCCTTATCCTACTTTAGGTTCATGCGGCGATGGCGCGCCGGCGACGCAAGCGAGGGCGCTCAAGGTTCAATTCTGCACCAGAGGGCGACGCAGACGCAGCGAGGGGCACGGTAACGCCACAGGACCCGACGGGATTCAGCCTGGAACGATCGGGGCCGCGATCGAAAGGTGGAACGATGGACGCGGTGTCAAAAACCTTCGCGCGCTGACGCCGCACCAACTTACCGCATTAGTTGTCGTCCTCGTGTTCTGCGTTCTCGTGGTTGTTGTTTGCCTGTTTCGCGCCGCTCCCGGGCACCATAGGCGCTGGGTGGCATTTCGATGCGTTCATTTTGCGCGCGCGCGTAGCCCGCTGGGCGTCTACAGATAGACATACAGAATTTGAGCGAGGGATAAGGATTGCGGGAGGGAGCGAGGATGGAGACGGGTAGAGTGCAAGGGAGAAAGAGAGCAGCAATGAAGAGCGAGAAAACGACCAGCGATCGATTTGCACAGCGGGGGAAGCCGCACACCATGCATCGTTGCCAGGTGCCGGAGCCTTCTGAGCTCCCGAAGAATCCCTTGAGCGCGATGAAGCAGGCGGCCTGGCCTGCCATATTGTGCTCTCGTTCTCTTTTTTTTTGTTGTTTCTCTCTCTCTCTCTCTCTCTGTCCGTACCTCTCTCTCCCTCTGTCTGTTGGCTGGAGCCAGCGCTGTCCTGTTGCGACTGCCCCAGTGAGCTCACCAGACCAGATCAGGAGGCACCTCGCCGAAGCTCCCGAAGAGCCCCGCACGGCCTCTCGGGCCTGGTTTTCCCAAGTAGTCTTCTACCTCGGGTGGCCCTACGCGTGTTGTTAAGAGAAGCGCTTTCCGCCAGCACCTGTCAGGCTGATTACTCCTGGCTTGAACGCTGGTTCGTCACGCAAGGTTGGTTCAAGTCTGTGGTATCCAATGGGATGACGTGCTAGTGCTACTGCGAATGCTGATGTAGTGTTTTGCATCTTCACGCTTGTAGTAGTAATGTGTGTGTTTGCCAGCCAATCACATACCCGGCGCTACGGCGCCCACCTGCGACGCCCACGCTGGCGACATTTGCAGGTCCGATGTTCCGATGTTCCTGTTCCATGCTAAAATACGATTACACAACCATACAGCAATGACATGATCTGATGTGCTTGGCTATGTGATGCCATGATGTGTTGTACTATATCACGGCAACACGTGCAGTAGTATCCAAGGCTTCGCTGTGCAACGCCCGCAATGCCACGATACGGCATTCTGCGCTTCGCCATTCAATCATACGCAATGTTGCCGTGCCGATGTGCAAGGTAAGATTGTGGCCCAACGCTATGTAATTCACAGGCTATGTGTTGCTGCGCGCTGGTGTGCTTTGCGCTGCGTGGCGCTTCATTTTTCCGTTCCGCATGTAGCTTCCTACTTCAAGGCGCATGCATTCGCAGCGCAGAGGCAAACCATTACTTAGCGTCGCGTTCAGTCTTTAACTACTTAATATGTATACACATGCACGTACACCTATTTACATTTGCATAATGTTAATATAGTTTTGTATTCATACATCTGTCTATACATATACATCGGTATGCTTGAGGGAGGGGTGGGTCTCGACCCCTTGGGAAAACAATCGGAAGCATCGTCTGTCTGGCAAAATGGCGGGAGGGGATCATTACTGGGAAGAGCGAGGATATTAATGCGCTTCAGGAGTAGGAGGAGGAGAAGGAGGAGACGGAGGAGGAGGGAGGAGGAAGGATCGGCTGGAGGAGGAGGACGAGCAGGAAGAGGAGTAGAAGAGGGAGGAGGAGGATGAGGAGGAAGAGGAGGAGGAGGAGGAGAAGGGGAAGCGGGGTTGGGAAGGAGAGGAGTGGGAGGAGGAGGAAGAGGAGGAAGAGGAGGAGGAGGACGACGAGGAGGAGGAGGAGGAGGAGGAGGAGGAGAAGTAGGAGTGAGAGGCAGAGGGCAGAAGGAGGATGGGGAGGAGGAGGAGGAGGAGGACGGGATGGTGAGAAGTTGCGGTTCCGACTCTCGCATCGTTACCCCCAAAGGTCCGCACTGGCCCCACGACGCCTCCAGAGGCCACTGGAGGCTTCAAGAACAGAAGGGGGTGTGGGAGGGGTGTGGGGGGAACTCAATTGCGCGGGCCGCCACTCCCGCATCGCGCGCAACCATCCGCAGGCCGCGCACCCGAGGTCGCCCCTGCCTAGGGTGGCTGTTGCGTGTCGCCGAACCTGGACCTCCGACGCCGTGGCCTCTGTTCGTAACGTGATTCCCCAACACGTCTGCACCTTCGTGTCCCCGCACCGGCTTCTCATCCTGAGCCGTGTCTCGATGGCTCGTGGGCCAGGTGGGGGCCCCCCACGGGGTGATTCTGTTGCGCATGTCCGGCCGTGGCTTCCCGCGGCGGCAGGAGGCGGGTGGGGCTGGGGGCGAGGCTAGATCAGTTCCAGGGCGTTCGCGCTGAGGAGGCCGCGGCGCCCGATACATCCTCCAGGGCCGCCGGATCTCAGAAGTTCTCGAGTTGCCCTCGTCCAGGTTTGTCCTCGTCTTGGCTTCGTCCTGAGAAGGCGGGGCGGCGTGCTCGGAGAAAGCACGAAACAGACAATAGGGTTCTGGGCAGGGCGAAATCACATCGACAGCTTCTGTCTATTCACTGCGGCAGCCTGCATGGGACTCGCTGTATGATCGACTCTATGGAAACCGCTGCGAAATCAATAGGAACCTCGGTGAACACACTAACCTATCCACCTTACTATAGCCGGGCTAGTGAATATGGAACGCTACATAAGGAACGAAGCCCCTCTTTTGGCATGAGAAGTGCCTGGGTGCACGAGGAGGGCCAGAGGATCACCCACGGAATGACCTCAGGAACAGCGAGCCCCTTCCAAACCCAGAGCGGTCCCTCCTTCAGCGTCTCTCGACCGTACCCCTGCGTCGTCGTCTTGGTCTTAGTCGTCCTCGTCGTCGTCGTCGTCGTCGTCGTCGTCGTAGTCGCCGTCGTCGTCGTCGTCGTCGTCGTCGTCGTCCCCACTCAGCGCAGGGAGCTGGGGCAGCATCGGGCGCCCCGGCCCAGGGCATGGCCATGGCGCAGTCGCAGGTCCCCACGCCCGCGCAGACCATGCAGGAGCTCGCGATGGCCATGGCGCCCCCCGCCCGCCGTTGCGCGCCGCGGGCCCCGCCGTGTGCTCTGTGCTGTCCATCCCGGCGCGCTGCTGCGTTTCAAAAATCGGGAGCGAAAGAAGGACGTACATGTACATGAATCCACGCTGGTTTCGAGAGTTCGTATTGCGCGAATGTTCGTTTCGCGCGGCAGGTCTCGCGGGTCAAGGGGCCGTGTTCATGTACATAGCTGGGCGCGTACGTCCTTTGTGGGCTCCCTCAAAAACTCAGACTCTCTCGGGTTCGCGACGGGAGGTTGTTTCGCAGTTGTCGGCCTCTCCTCGGGGCCCACACCGGGCCTCGGGACCGTCAAGAACGACCCGGGGTGAGGCACCGGCCCCAGGGAGTGTGTCGAGGCCTCCGAGGGTCGACGTCATGAAAGAATCTTGGCGTCGGGGGTGTTGGAAATGCCTTCTTTCAACAACGTGTGCCCCCAGCGAACCAATGATTTCGGAACTGGAGCCCTTGCTCGGGCCCCCGGGGTTATCCGCCAATCGATCTGGGGCGAGGAGCCCCCCCATTGGGACGGTGGCGGGATCTGGGGCGGAGAGCCTCCCCCGTGCAAGGTGGCAGGAGCTCTGTGGCCGCGGGCCGCGCAACATCACGGCGGAGGATGCCCAGGGGCGTCGTCGCGTGCCGAGTTCTCCGAGATCCAGGCGCCGTATTGCTCACGCTGGCCCTCTTCGCCGGGCCCTGGACGCGAATCGATCTGGCCCGAGAGTTGCCGCCGAAGGATGGGATGCATGGTCCTGGTCGTGGTGACACTGCGATCTCCACTCAATGTTGCGGTGTCGGATCCCAGGGGTCCCTGCGCTGCCGGACGGCGTAGCCCGCCGAGGGCCCCCGCCACCCCGACTGCGCCCGTGAGGGCGCAGAGGAGCCCCGACTCGTGTCGGGGCGCTCACGACGGGGGTCTGCACTGGCAGGGGTGGGCCGATCTGAGGGGCGCCGGCACGGGGGGGACTGGCTCAGGGTTAAGTCGGGCCTGTCCCTCTACAGCGGGGATATTCCAAAACAGTAGAAAGAATCGTCTGGAGACGATTTTTGGACGTTTTGACAATTTTGGAGCATTTGATTGATTTTTTGTCATTGTTCTTCAGAAATCCGCCTGTAGAAGGACATGCCCGACCTAAGCTCAGGGGGGGAGCATCGGCCCCCGATCGCCCTGAGCCAGCTCCCCCCTGGCCGGCTTTTCTTATACGACCCCTCCGTGGGCTGCCTTTCGCGGACTCCGTCTCCTTTCAGTTCTGATTGTCGGGCTCCTGTGCAGCCATCCCGAGTGAGAAACGAAGCGGCCAAGCATCATATGTGCCGAACGCGAGCCTGCGTAAGGGTCGGGATTGAGCTAACCATCGCAGGCCCTTCTTCCGCAGGTATTCAAGCCATTGTGTTCCTGCGTGTTGTACGCTCGCTGTCAAAGTGCGCGTGTTGTGTGCGCATCGATTTACCTTTCTGTGGTCGTAGAAAAGGAGAGAGAGAGAGAGGGGAGTCATGCTAATTTGGCTGGGAATGCAATGCAACAGGCATGCAGGCACATGCTTATATGAGCACGTGAGTGACGTGTGTGTGTGTGTGTGTGTGTGTGTGTGTGTGCGTGTGGGTGCAATCTTGCGTACGAGCGAGACTAGAGATTCATAAGAGGCAACTGGCAGTACACGTGTGGGAAACACTTTGCGTTTGCGAAGACCAGCATACAGACATTTGCCGCTATACGCATATGTATAATCGCATGTCCATGGTCACGACTGCGTTGTATTCATGTGTACACGTGCATATACGTACTTACGCATGTATGTATCTACACATCGACATATAAGCTGTTTTTGGGTTGATAGATCGTGTCGGTGAGTGTTAGAGAGAGAGAGAGAGAGAGAGAGTGAAACAAAAAGAGATAAACAACGCGACCAACAATGGGACAGAGAGCGAGAGAGAGAGAGAGAGCGAGAGAAAGAGAGACAGAGAGATATGCAGACACGCACGCACACACGCACACGCACACGCACACACACGCACTCTTATAGATTGACGCGTATATATATATATATATATATATATCCTTGAGATTCTCATGGGTTTTATCTCGTCCCCCCTCCGTCCTCGAAACGATCTCCTCTAAACCGCCTCTCCGTAGCCGCCTCGGCTTAAGGGTGCGGGGGTCCCCAGAATGACCCCCTCCGAGGAGCCCGCGCCCGACTGAGCTCCCCCCTCGGCGCCTGGGGGAGCTCGTCAGCCCGCGCCGCCGCGGCGGCGGCACGGCCGTGGCGATGTTCGGCGCCGCGGGGGCTGGCGCGGGCGCCCCGCCTGGCCCGCCTGGGTTGGGCCCTGGCGGGGGGCTCCTCGGCGTTGGCGGCGGCGGAGCGCTGGGCGGCTTTCTGGGGCTGCCGCCTGGCGTCGGCGCCCTGCTCCCGCCGCCGCCTGCCGGAGTGGCCGCTGGAGCTGCCGCGGCCGCGGGCGGAGCCGCCGCAGGCCCCGCAGCGCCAGGAGGCGGAGGCAAGGCGGTGGCGAAGCCCGGGATGGGCGGCAAGGGCGGCATGGGCGGCATGGGCGGCCCAATGGGCGGCATGGGCAAGCCGCCTGCCGCCCCGCCGCCCGCTGCAGGACGCGGCAGAGGTGCCGGCGCTGGAGCTGGAGCGCCAGCGGCCATGGGGGGCCCCGTGGTGCCGGGCCTGATCCCAGGGATCCCCGGGGTGGGAGCCCTCGTGGGGCCACCCGCTCACGCTGGGGGTGGAGCCGGCCTCGCCGTGGCAGGGCACGCCGCCCACGCGGTGCCAGCCGCCGCCGCGCCTGTGCCCGCGGGCTGGCAGGCGGGCATGCCCGTGGCGGGCGGGGCGCTGCCGCAGTTCGGAGCGGCGTTCGCCCAGCCGGCGGTGGCGGGGGTCGCGGCGGTGGCGCAGCAGGTTGGGCCGTGGGTATACGTGCCCATGGCGCCCCAGGCGGTGACCCACGGCCTCCTGGGGCTGAGTGCCGGTTGCCGCGTCGAGCTGGTGATGTACGACGCTGCATGCCAGCCGAGTGGGACGACGACGATGACAGTGACAGGGCTCTACCCACCTGACGCGGCAGGGGAGTTCGTGGAGTGCGCGGTGGAGAGCAGCAGCGACCCTCTCTACCTGCCGATCCTGCAGGGCATCTTCGCGATGGGAAGCAGCGTGGTGCACCTCTGCACCCAGGGCGTGGCGGCATGCTGTCGCACGACCTCTTGGCCAGGACGCAACGTGGTGCACTCGGACACGCTGCGCGTGCTGGGGGCGGCCTTGCCTGGAGGCGGAGCCGCTGATGGCGCTGGAGCTGCCCCACCTGGCGCCCTCCCTGCAGGAGCTGCGCCGCCCGCTGCTGACGCAGGCCCAGTGGTGCCGGGCAAGAACGCAGGTGGAGCCCCCAAGGGCTCAGGCGGTGCCGACGGTGACGACGTCGATGGCAAGACGGCCGAGGAGATGAGGAAGATTGTGAAGAGGCTGAAGGAGAAGCTTCAGAGGAAGCGCTCGATGGGCGAGGCGCTGGCCGAGCGCGCGGAGGCTGCGCTGGAGGGCCGCCGCAGCCGCAAGAAGCAGAAGAACAGAGACAAGGATAGTTCTGACAGTGCAAGTTTTGACGAGGCCCCGACCGCTGGTTCCGGCCGCCGAGTGCAGAAGCTGGCCCGCTCCGACCCCGGGGCGCTCATGGCTGCGGGTTTGAAGCAGATCCGTGAATACTTGGCGCAGCGGGGCGGGGCCGACAACGATGATGAGCTGGATAAGATGGCGTCCAACGTGGTGCAGTACATCACGAGCGTGTGGCATGGCATGCACCCCCAGAGCGAGATGGGCGTGCGGAACGTGCGCGAGATGAGGATGGTCGGGGAGTGCCTGGACGCCCTCACGAGGGGCGACCTGCCACAGCTGGGCGACATGCTGATGCAGAGGCTGAAGGCCATCGAGCAGGCCACCAAGGACGGGCACTGGAAGGTGGCCGAGCACCTCGAGCTGGTCGACTCCACCGACATCGGGCTGGCCAGCAGCGCCGAGGTGTCGGCGGCCGTGGCGACCTACTCGGAGGGCGCGAAGCTGAAGGAGCGCCTCACTCGGGCTGGCGCGCGGAGGCCCCCCTAGGGACTCGGCGAGGGAGAGGGTGGGCGCACCAGGACGCCCTCTCCCGCACCGCCGCCCCCACAGATATCGAGTCCTGGAGCACAGGGGGAGAAGGATGCGCCGACGCCCGGGTCGAGGAAGGACCGGTGGAGGGCGAAGCTCTGGCGTGGACGCGGCCGAGGGCGAGGTCGCGGTCGCGGGGGCGCTGTCGAGGCAGTGAGGAGAGCGTCGCCGAGCCCGGCAGCCGGGACAGGCGCTGGCGAGAGATCTGGGAGCCCGAGGAGCCCGTCGTCCCACTGGCGGCCAGCACCTGGTTCGATCAGCCCTGGAGTGGATCGCAAGCCGGCCCTTCGGAGACCCTCGAGCCCTACTCGTCGCGCGAGGTTCGAGGACGACGTGACAGCGGAGGCGAAGGCAGGCAACAAGGGCAAGCCGAAGGGCGACAAAGGACAGCGCCGCGGGACGCCACCTTGGCGCTCGTGGAACCCGAAGGGCAAGGGCGGCACGAAGGGACAGGCCCGTGGCAAGGGCAAGGACAAGGGCCAGGGCAAGAGGCCCAACAAGAATCGGAAGTAGAATGCATGAGCTTCGAGGGCGCTCGAGACGCGTGTGACTGCATGTCCGACGGCAGCTGGGAGTCCGAGATCACCTTCTCCTCGTACCTTGAGGATGAGTGCAACGGCGCCGCGCATGGCGCAGTCTCGGACGAGCCGTCCACGCGAATTCACGACTATCCCTACTTGGACCAGACGCGTGCCGCCAGTGAGCTGGGCAGTCTCTGTGGAGCTCCCGTTCGGGTTGTTGGACGCCGTCTAGCTGATCTCAGTGCTTCTTCGCCCGCGTCGAGCGGGGCACTTGGCAATTTTGATGCGAAATCGTACGATGATATCCTCTCACCACTGACCGCAGGGAACGG